TTTTTGCTGTAGGAATAATCTATTAAATTCAGCAGTCTGCGTGTGTTAGCAGCTGACTGCCTTCCTTTAATGAAACCAGTTTGATCTGGGTGGATTATGAGAGGAGTGACTTTATCTAATCGTTTTGCTAAAGCTTTACAGATTATTTTAATATCCACATTTATTAAGGATATAGGACGATAGCTGGTCGGAAACATAGGATCTTTGCCTGGCTTAAGCAGGAGACTGATGGTGGCAGAATTCATATTAACTGGAAATTTCCCATTATCTTGAGTTTCCTGCAGCACTCTATGGAACGTTGGGGCCAGAATGTCCCAGAACTCTTTATAGAACTCAGTAGGGAACCCGTCTGGACCTGGTGCTTTATTGTTTGGCATGCTTTTTAATGCATCCTGAACTTCAGCTGTAGACAGCGGTGAGTCCAAGGACGCTCTTTGACTCTCTGATAATTTAAGAAGAGTTATTTTATCCAGAAATCGCTTAATATCATTGTCTGATGGATTTAACTGTGATGTGTATAAAGATTTATAGAAAACTCGGAAGGCATTGTTAATATCCTCCGGATCCTGTAATATATTACCAATTGAATCTGTAACGGCAAATGTAGTCATTTTTTCTTTGTTTATTTTTAGCTGATTAGCTAAGAAACTTCCTGATTTATTGCTATGTTCAAAGTTGTCAATTCGAAGTCTTTGAATTAAAAATGTATTTTGTTTTTCAATAAATTCGTTTAGTTCTAGTTTTATTTTACGGATTTCCCCTAATTCTTCCTCATCTAGCAAGCTTTCTAGTAACTTTATTTTTCCCTCTAATTCCTGGATCTTTTTTTGTTCTAACTTTTTTTTATGAGATGAGAATGAAATAATTTTACCTCTCATCACTGCTTTACCTGCTTCCCATAGTATGGATGCTGATGTTCCTGGTAAATCATTGCACACCAAGTATGATGCCCACTTTTCCTTGAAAAATTTGAGAAACTCTTCATCTTTAAACAGTGATGTATTTAATCTCCAGCTTTTGTTTTGTGGGGCTATTTTTTTATTTATTGCAGCATCTGAGACAACAGACAGCAGCGAGCTGCTGATTAGGAAATAGTCCAGACGAGAGTAGGAATGATGGACAGTAGAAAAGAAAGTGTATTCCTTACTGTTAGGATGAAGAGATCGCCATGCATCACAAAGACCAAAATCACTCATGTATTGTTTGATTATTATTTAATGATTGCCAACTGCGCTGAGTCCCTGTTGTATTCAACATGTCCATTTCTCCATTTAGACCAAAGTTGAGGTCACCCCAATAATTAGAGAACCGTCCCCGTGCTTTGAAAGTGCATCAAAAAGTTTG